AAAAAGTAAGTAATATGAAACAAATTATATAACCAATTATAAGAGTATAAACTGTAATTTAAAAATAAAAATATATTTGATCTTTAATATTATCTTGGGATGTGAAGATTTAAAGTTATGGGTATCACAGCTTTAAATTTGTAAAATAGAAATGAAAAAAAAAATATAAAACAAATTAAATACGATAACTATAAAGTATAAAATGAAAGTTGTAAAAGTAAGTCGCTACATATTTATGTAATTTAATAATATGAAATTAAATTGAAAGATATTCAATATTGAGCTTTGAAGTCATTGATAAGACGATTATAATGGTATAATTTGTAAAAAGTGAAACATATTTTTTTAATATATTTTAGTTAATATACGATTATGTATGATAATATGATAATGATGCAAAATAAAAATTGAAAAAAAAATGATATAAAGTAAATTAAATAACTAACTATAAGAGTGTAAAGAATAGCTTAAAAATTAAAAATAATTTGATTTTAATATTATATTTGAGACGTGGAAGGTTCATAGGAGATGTTTAGCTTCAAAACTTGTAAATGATACATAGACAATGGTATCTCTTAAATTTTAACACATAACCGTTTTAGGTGCTTATATGTATACTATAGATGTAATTATGTATATGAAAATTGTGTAAAGACATTTATAAATTAAATTATTTAATCATTTACTTTGTGTTAATTATAACTATTATTACTTTTGAAGACAACTTGTCTAGTTCTATCATAACCAGTCCTAGTTATACCAAACACGAGACAGACACTTGTGTCCAATCCTAACCTCTTTTGTCATATGCAATTATGTTTAATCATGTATGTGTATCTCAAACGCTACCATAAAGAACATCCATAGGCTCTAGCATGTGGTTTAATTGACAAAGCGGTAAGATGACTTTGTCCAAATATAAGATAGGTCTTGGTTCAATCCCACGCCCCCTGCTAGCCTCAACCACTGAGTGGGCCAAAAAATTCCCTCTAACATTGATGTCCTTGAAAGCCGGTTTCATGTAGGACTAATTGGAGTTGCAGTAATCAATTTTTTACCCAAATAAATAACATCTTGGCACATGATTATGAAATGAAAAAACACCTGACAATAAAATCTATTTTGCTTGTAACTATTAACTCTCAGTAAGCTTTTCTTGTTTTAATTGGCCACCCAAGCTCAAGTCATACTTTTTTGAAGAAAAAAAGAATGTAGGACTTGCCTAACGAAAACTTTTTCAATAAAGTAGCATAAAGTTACCCAGACATGACCTACATAACATGTTCTCATAATTCATCACATTTCAAACAATATAACCAAACTTGTAGCAAGTAATCAAGTACCATAAAAGAAAAAACCAAGCAAGTGAAGATGGTTGGTACTGGTAACAAGATTGAGCAATGGGATAATACCAATCAATCTTCTTCAAGGTTGATGGAGTCCTTGAACTTGGCATATAAAACCTTTTTCAAATCGGCCATTTGGGCAACCACCGCATCCTTCTCGTCCTTGAGTTTCTCCAAATGCTTGGTCGTCGTCTCTGTCATTTGTTCTATCCTCATCTCCACTTCATCTTTGGGTACATGAGCGAAAACCTCCCCTATCTGGAACCTCACTACCTCCTCATCCGTTAGAATCAATTCGTTGCTTGCATCCTCAAAGTTCTCATTCGCTTCCTGCATGCCCACCAAAACACAAACATATCTTCACCAAATTATATAACCAAACCAAACAGATCACTATACCCCACTTGAAAATAGGTTTAGAGGTGAGATATAGACAGACTTGACCTCACCTCAACCTCACATAGTAGAGCAGTTGTTTCCATCAAAGAATAAAAGCAAACATGAAGAAAAAACAAGGACTAGTACATGGTGAACATAGAACGCGAAAAATAAGAAAGAAAAGGGGAGGATAGAGACATTGAAAACATACAGAAAAAAAAAACCAAACACAATAAATCCCACACAAAAGTAGGGTTTTGGGGTAGGATATACACAAACCTAAATTCCACAACAAGTGAAAAGGGATTGTTTCCATGAAGGCCTCGGCTTCCAAAATCCAAAATAAAAGCTCAGTTTCAAACAGATTTTCCTCTTTTTGCTCACACTCTTGGTTATTAAATGAAGACTCCATAGCAGCAAAGAAAAACTCTTGTGCTCTCTTTTGGTGGCTGAAATTCATTCTGTAGGCTTTTTATTTCAGAATTGACCAGTCATTTATGCACTAGACACATGACCAAAATGAGACATTCAATATACATATTTTACAGGCTTTATTTGACAAACAGTTAACTGCAATGTCCTTTTCTTAATATTGTTTGTATGAAAATGTGATTCATGACTAAATTATTGTAGTTTCAGTGAGTACCTATGATGCAGATGGTTAACTTACACGATTTCTATCTAAGACATCGTCTATGTTGAGAGGTTTAGTAAAAAAGGAATGTATATGCCATGATTGACCAACCCCTTGAATGATTTGATTCTCTTTAGCATTATATTCTTTTATAGAGGATCAAGTGTATTGTTTCCCATTTTAATCAATTTTCATCAATGTTTCCCATTTCCAAAACACCCAAGCTATTAAAATACACAAGACCATACGTTTTCACCTGCTCATAATGTCAAAAGTAGTAGGTTTACGAATTATGTTTTTGGCTTACTTCAACTAGCAACATATAAAGACTTTCCCCTCCTCAACCCTTGCAAACCTAGAAGAGTTGGTACACCAAGACTGCCCTTTAGGTAATTTTCTGCTTTGTAGGTGCCAGAAGGAGGAAGACAATGACATGCATAACACAAAAAACAAGCAAGACCCATAAGTATCATAATTAAATTTCATTCATCAGTATAAACATGCAACAAATGCCAATCGCTTAAATAACAAATACTATGCAATAACTCTTTATGCTCAGATGTTCGAAACAACAGTAGACGAGCAAAAGCAAAGTCAGATTATTACGCATATGAATCCAGTAGATTTGTGATCCCGGAACAGCCAAATTAAAGCAATCTCATTGAGAAAACAAACGATCTTCATGACACTGATAATATTATTGGATATATTTGGGCAAAAAAGTTGATAGCCCGTGGGGGGTCAAAAAAGGGACCTGTCTTGTAATTGGGCAAGTCGCCCCGCCACTTTGCCAATAGAGCACACGCCAAAGGCAACCTTATTGCATATACAGACAATGGTTACTTTGGTTACAGAAAAGAAATACATGCAAGCCTCATATATAACAGATCAATGATTTAAGAATCAGAAGCTCTAAGAATTTGAGACTTTACAAGACATTGTGAACCACCAAAGCACCAGTTAAACGTTCAGGCAGCATATAAAGCGTAAACAACAAATTGTAACAGATGTACACTATAACTACCAAAGGATAATTGAGAAGAACCGGACATTATTTGATGAAATTAAATGCAACTTAACCAAGCATAATGAATGAAGATGGAATGAATGACCAGCTTACAACTATATAATTGATTGAGCTTCGATGGAACAACGACAAAAGAAGTAGCTAGCATGGCACGTCTATTTTGTAAATTACTTGAGAAATTATAGCCCATGTTTTTCTCACACAATAAATTGCCACCAGAAAATGTCGAATAAGAAAAAAGTGACAAAGAAAACCAAAAGAACAAGCTTAAAAACCAAAAGAACAAGCTTAAAAGTACATAAGTGATGAGATTAAACTTATTCAGATTGTAGGGAAGAAAATTGGCACCCAAAGAACTTGGACAAATTGAGCAAGAACATCACATTGCTTTCAGTAGCTTAATTATCTCCTTTTCCATGACACATGCACAAACTTTCCTGATTTATAGCAGTTACAGCATACTTCAGGGTTTTGCTACGGTTTAAGTGCAAAAAGACATCCGTCTTTTAACTACAAATACAATTCCAAAAACGAATCTTCACAAAAGGCAGGGGGTGAGCATATGCACTGGGATCTAGAACCCACCGTAATGTTCGGCGGAGATTGTCTTTTGACTCCTACACCTTAGATGTGCATACTCATAACTTCATAATACCACCTTGGTTCACAAGCTTGCTTACAAGTTACAATAGCATTAAAGCGCATATATAAGATGTTGAGGCATCATGACCGATACAATTCCAATTTAGAGAAACTACTTGGTCATGGAAAGGTACCTTGGCAATCCTTATTTCATCTTCAAGTTCATGATATCGGTTGTTCAATCTCCCAAATTTGTTGATGTTCTGCTGATCCTCCCATGTCACTTCAGTTTCAGAGCCACCACCAGCCTTTGATTTTCATGAAAATATGAAGTTTGTCAAAAAGAGAGAGCTCCAAAATAAGCATAAAGTATGCAAGTAAAGAAGGAACATATGGTTTATATATGGTCCGTATGAGAAACCAAAGCATAGAAAATAAATTAAAAAGGAAGTAACAAATTTAACTTTCACCTGCTGCATGATTGATAATAGGAGGTGACACTCGATGAGACAGAAGTTTCAGCTTTCTAGTGTGCAAGGTACTGCAAAGGGCATCCATGGCAGTTTTTAAGTGTGAGAGAATTTTCCACCTGTCTTCAATAAACCAAACCAAACCAAACAAAACCAGTAATTCCCCCACAGGTAGGGTCTTGGAGGTAAGACATATGCAGTCCTTTCCTCTACCCCAAGGGGTAGAGTCATTGGCGGACCCAAGATTTTGCCGAACAGGCGCACCTTTAAATTGGATCAAATGCCTTTGTTTTTAGCTGAATTTCTCCATTTAGAGGGATTTTTTTTAAAGTTCTTTGGTTGATTTCAAGGAACTTTTGCATGTTTTTTGTTGATTTTGAGGGACTTTCGCTTTTTTGGGTTGATTTCATAAAATTTCTCAACTTTTAGGATTTGATTCTCGTTATCCTTTACTTTTTTCTAGGTTTCTAACTTTTTTATTTATGCATCTAGAATTTTAGTACTAAATAGGATGTTTTGCAAATCAAAATTAACTAACCAATTTAAAAGAACCCTAGATTGATTGAAGAAATTAACATCAACAAGACAACAACTAAGGTTCAGAAAATATAAAAATAAGGTAAGAAAATTAACATCATATTACCAGATATAAAGTAAATCTAGAATTTAAGCAAATATGAGTTAGGGGCGTAGGGCAATGAATGTAAACAACAAAACATGTAACAAATAAACAACGAAACAATTTGCAATAATTAAAAGGGCAAAGGAAGCAAGAAAAAAACTGAATCAGATTTAGGTCAAAACACTAATATCAAATTTGGGGAAAAAAATATAGTTCAATAGTCAAAACCTAAATGCAAGAACTCAAAACAAACAAATAAATCATGTAAACATAATTGTATAGCATTATAACTAATCATTTTAGAGCAAATGAATATTATCAAATTTACGGCAAAAATATAAATTTGAGTTGGATCTGGGACAAAACCTGAATGAGAGATTGAGAGAGTGACTGAGTGAGTGAGAGTGTGTGTGAGAGCTTGAGAGAACTGGCCGGAGCCGGCGGACGGCGGTGAGGGGCAGCTGGGCGATGACAGAGGCAGAGGCAGGGGTGCTGTTTGTTTTTTAGTTTTCAGAATGTGAACTACTTCTCTCATTTGTTTGGTGCTCTTTGTTTAAAAGAAAATAAAAAATTATAGTTTGGTCCTCTATCTTTGTTTTTTTGTTTAGTATGTGCACAATTTCACAAATATTTTAGAGTACCCCTCAAATTTTTAACGGCACCTTTTGTACCTCAAAAAAAATATCCTTGCAAATTTAAATTGAGCACGTGCATGGGACCCCACTCCCCATCCTATAGGTCCTCCCCTGGTTAGAGGAGTTGTTTGCGTGATCACCCTTGCCTTGTAAAACAACAACAATTAAAAGGTAAGAATGTGTGCGATCTAATAACGTGTACATGTAAATAGATAAGGCAAGGCAGCAGGGACAAAAGGAAAGAAAATATGTTAAAACAATCAAGAAAACCCAAAGCGCAAAACTGAATACCAATCCAGGACTGTTGATCCTCTCTCTTAGTGATTTGATGATAATCTTTATTTCCTTATACGAAGTATTTATGTTTCTGTTTTTTCAGTTCCAGCGATCTTCACTGAGTCTGTTCAGTGTTCGCTGAAGAACTTATATTGTAAATCCAATCAGCAACAACGTTACTTCAAGAAGACAACACTCACACCAAAGAACCTTCAGCAAAAGTCGAAGACTGAAACTGAAGATTAGAGACTGGCAAGTACATGATCTGAAGCGGTATTCAGTGATTATAAGTCTATCTATATATGCATGAAGACTGCCCAAGCCTCAGCGAATGCTGAAGAGACCTTCAGGTTATTCCAGCATTTAGCGATCAAAAAAAGCTTGTTGAGCACGATTGTTGTTGTTTTGTCCTTATACACACAAAGGACAAACCCATACCCTTTCTAAAAGTTAGTACGGTACGCAACCGACTAATTGACTCTATTACCCACCAACTTTGTGAAAGGATGTCTACTCATTAATAGGCTTTTGTACTATTCACTGTAGCAAAGGACAAGCTTTCCTCTTAAGACTTGACACGCGTTCTAACCCTACCATGATGCATTAAATGTGCATTTAATGCAACGGATATAAATAGATGTGTTCTATCTCCATGCAGAGATACCTAAAAAAATCTTACGTTAAGCTCTCTTACGCTTAAGTAAAAGAACACACATCTAAGAACAAATACGCTCATCTTCAAGAGCAAGTTAGAATCTCTTTCATTGTATTCTAAACAAGTTCTCTCCCAGACAGAACTTACTTTCCTCTATTTCTTTAACAACAAATTTTTTCTTATTTGCTAAGACTAAGTGTGTAAACTTTAGATTGTTTAGATAAATTTTTCTTACCTTATTTTTTCGCAAACAATCTTGTAAAATATGTATTGATCTTCTTTCATCAATATATATTTTAAATTTGAAAATACTGTGTTTGTATTCATCCCCCCCCCTTTCTACAAACTGTTTTACACATCTTGTAGACCCTAAAGGGACCAACGAGGACAAAAAAAGCTAAGACTAGTGTACAGAATGCAGGTTGCACAAGTAGGCACAGTGGTAGACATGTATCTTCCTGAAATTAATTTGTTTTTTCCCGAGTGGTTTGGCTATATAAATTTATACTAATAGAATTCACTTCGCAAAGTAACCAAAGAACCAAATCAAACTCGAAGAGAATATATGAAGCTAGTGTGGAAGAGCAGGTTTGAAAGTAAATTGAATGAAATTGAATGTAAATGCTATTATTCTAAATCCATGTTCCTGATGGATTCATCGAAAAATGAGATTTCATAATTTTGCAATCTAATCTTTGACATACAATAAATCTTCTGGTATGTTGATAAGCATGGTTTATTACATGCTTAAAGTACCTATTTCCTTTGTTTAATAGGTAGATTCTTCTAGTTTATCCCAACATTGAGTCATTTTTGCTTCCTTATTTTCCATTTATTATGTTTGGAGCTAAATATAGTGATGGATTTGTTTTTACAACAATTTGGGAGTAGATGACATCTTTAACTTACAAATACTGCACTATGATGCTGCAACATTCCAGCAACATTGACCTGATCCGGTGCGGCTTTTTGGAGAATTGCTTAATAGTTCAGCCATTGTACCGGAGGAAAATCTTAGCTTGAGGAACCGTCGGTTTTTGTCCAAAACAGCTTGTGAAGGGGACATTTGGAAGACTTTTTGGATGACCTTTTGTGATGGAGTTGATGTCTCCTTTATGGTTCCCTCATGATGAACATTTACCTTTCCCACGTTTTTGTCTTTTAGTCTAGTTTGTGTGTATAAAAGGGGACCATGGGTGCCTCTTTTGAAATCATCCCTGAACATCTCTCATCTTTTGTTCCTCATCCTTAAACACTTCAAACTCTTAGTAGTTTTATATTTATGCAAGTTCTTAAGTTTTTCTTTAAATATTGTTCTTCATCTTGATGTGCTGCAACATTGTCATTTATTTATTTACTTTTATCGTCATTTAATTTTCGTCTTTACTTTCTGTCATTTATATTCAGTCATTTACATTCATGTCTTTACTTTATGTCATTTTCTTTCCGTAATGAGTAGCTAATTTCATTAGCTCGGGTGTAGGATAAAGGGTGAAATGTTAAACCAAATGAAAGTGGACGTTGTTTCGCAATAACAATGTTCCACTATTTCATTCAAGTTTTATAAAACCAAGTACACTTCTTGACAAGTTGATCACTTTGAAAGTGTTAAAGTGCCATGGACTTAGAGATAAGTCATTGATATGCACGTCAGCTTGAATGATATGAGAGGTAGACTAGAGAAAGTTACCGACAAGGAGACTTGTCATTTATGTTTTTCAAATTTAACTCCCGACGGGTTGGTCACTCTCTAAAAGTGTCAAAGTGCGATAGATTCAGAGATGAACTATCTTGAACACACGCGAACTTGAATGATATGGGAATCGGCTCGAAAGAGKGATTTTTAACAAARAGATTTGTTTAGCCATATATTTTGAAGACACCATTTGTCACTATCCCTGGTCTGAACACCACATAGAGATATGGGTGCAAAGCTATAGTATAGTGCAAAGGTGAAGTCCGAGAGAAATACCTTCAAGATAGATGGTGGAAATAGTTCTTCTACAACATTGTCTGCTGGATTTTGTGTTTACGTTTCACCCCTAAGTCTTACACCCGTGCTACCTTTATTATTCTGTTATATTTGCATTGTTAACTCAGAATCAAACTGAAGCTTCATTTTCATCATCTGAAATCTTTTCTTTCACTGGACTCTCATTTAACTTTTGCTACAATCCTCGTGGACGATAATCCGGTACTTGTACCACTTTATTACTTGGAAAGACGATATTGAGCCATATTGTATACTTGCTTTGTGGCCCAATTCTTTAGTCTAAAGGTGTAAGATATACTTGACCAAGTTTTTGGCGCCGCTGCCGGGGATTGACAAGCTTAAAGTTTTCTTTTGAGTAAAGTAAAAGATTTGATTTTTCTAGTGCCTTTTAATCGTCTTAAAAGTGGTGTATGCCAAGAACACATCACGGGGAATTTTTCGAACTTGATCCAGATATTGAGAGAACGTTTCACCATAGAAGGAGGGCTCAAAGAGCATTTCTTGCTCTACTCCCTCCCAACATGGAGTTACCTCCTCTCATCATTCCGAAAATACCACATTTGGAAAACCAACCGCCAGTTTTTGGACAAATTCCACTGTTCCCAAATTTTCCACAAGGACACCAAGAACACCCACATAATCATAATCATAATGATAATAATTTGGGTAATGAGGACACTGATTCGGAGCATAATGATCACCAAAGAGCACAAACTCCGAACATCATTAATTTGGCAAATTCCAAAAATGGAAGGATCATGGATTATGCTATCCCGGATTTGGAGCAATTAAATTCTGGGATAGTTAGACCACATATGACCGCTCTCCATTTCGAACTAAAACCGATAATGTTTCACATGTTGCAAACGAATGGCCAATTTGTTGGATTGCCCTCAGAGGACCCACATTCACACTTAAAGTCTTTTATGGAAATCACTGATGCTTTTTTGATCCCGGGAGTGTCCAATGACGCTCTCAGACTCACTTTATTTCCATTTTCATTAAGGGATCGACAAAAGTATGGTTTAACTCTTTAACACCGGGATCTGTGCCGTCTTGGAGTAACATGGCAGAAATTTTTTTGCGAAAATATTTCCCACCAACAAGGAACGCTAAGTCCAGAAACGAGATCTATCTTTTTAAACAACTGGATGATGAAGCTGTTCCTGACGCGTGGGAAATGTTCAAAGAGTTGTTGAGGAAATGCCCACACCATGGCATTTCGTACTGTATTCATCTTGAGATGTTTTACAATGGGTTAGGTCCCATAGCAAAACAAATGCTCGACGTGACTGCAGGCGGAGCCTTTACAGCCAGTACCTATAATGAGGGATATGAAATCCTAGAAAAGATATCAGCAAACAATGGGCATTGGGCCGACCCACATGCCCAGCCACAGAAAAAGACTGCTGGAATACATGAGGTGGATGCATATACTACATTAACAGCTCAGCTCACCTCCATGACCAATTTATTGAAAAATTTAACTTCTGGTCAGGGAGTACAACAAGCTGCTAACACATCTATTCCAACAATCCTATATGTGCAATGTGTGTGCTGTGGTGGGGATCATTCATATGAACATTGCACCCATAATTCTGAATCCGTAAATTATGTTCAAAACATATGTAATCCCTACTCTAACACATATAATGCCAGTTGGAGACAGCACCCGAACTTTTCTTGGAATAGTCCCAGTTTTAATCCACCAGTCCATAAGCAACAAGGAACTTCTAATTTCCAACCACAACATCATGCTAACAGTTCTAACTCTCAGAGCCACCAACAAAGTTTTCAGAACTCTCAACCACATTTTCAGAACAAACCTCCTCTACTGGAAGAATCATCATCTTCTTTGGAAGCAATTATAAAGGGGCTTTTAGCACATGCTCAAGCCCAAAATCAAGCTTTGATTAATCAACAAAGTGTTGCCATCAGGAATTTAGAGACTCAGGTCAATCAACGTGCAC